CTTTATTGAAATTCATGTTTGCATCCATTACAGCTAAAAGTCTGTTTGGTAAGTCAGTGCAAAACTAACCCAATTTTATAATTTATATGATCCATTTTACACTCTACATATTTGCATTCAGACTTATCTGCATCGCATTGTTTCCAAACGCAGCCTAAGTTATTCACATATCAAAGGAATAGTTGGGCCTGTCCGAATTGGGCTTAGGCGTGCGGAAGGAAAGTAGGCCAATTGGATTTTATTCTACGTTCAACGCGATAGGTCAATCGTCTAAGCAAGTCAGTCTGGCAAACTTAAAATCATAAAGATTAGGCCCATCTTCAGTCTTCACATGTTTCTCATTCATGCAGGAAAAAGAGGATTTGAGTAGATGGGATTAAAGCAAAATCCCCGCCCTAATATGGGCTTAAATTCAATGAAAAGTGAGTGCGTGGGAGGCCTTGCGGGATGGGCTTGGATCTATATTTGTGTAACTACATTGAAGTTGAGCAGCAAACATTACGCCCATCTTACATTTTGCAGGTTGGATTTTTTTAAGCCTAAAAAGGCAAATGTTATTAAGAAATGCTCAGAATACATCCATGATATTAGAATAAGCAAGAATAAAGTTGAAGAAAGTTATAAGGAAAGTGGAACGATAAATCATAAAACCCTTAATAGACAACCGATTTAAACTGCTGATGAAGAAGATAGTGACCCTGAACATCGGGAGAGATGACTCATGAGATCTCTGCAAACAGCGCAAACCCATAAAATGCCAAGAAAAGGAGGACCGGCTGCCTCCAACCGAGACAAAACTCAACTGATCCAGAAGTTAGAAAATTAGTCCAAACAGTAAAATCCATCTACAGGACCTATGGAAGCTACTCTCTTCTTTCCCCACTAAAAGTCATAAAGTAAAAGAGAAACAGAACTCAACTAAAGTAGAAGTTAGAAAATCAACCCAAACAGTAAAGTCCATCTACAGGACCTATGGAAGCTACTCTCTTCTTTCCCCACTAAAAGTCATAAAGCAAAAGAGAAACAAAACTCAACTAAAGTAGAAGTTAGAAAATGAGCCCAAACCCCTACACTACTCTCTTCTTTCCCCAATAAAAGTCATAAAGCAAAAGAGTAAGGAGAAAGTGAGAGAGAAAAAAAATACTAGTTCAACTATGTACATGAAAAACAGAAAGTACTTTTCTTTTGCACCTCAAAAGTACCATGTAAAGATGTTAACTTTTAGGTCGTGTTTGGATGGGGCGGAATTGAGGGGACCAATTCCACAAGTTTCAAGGTACTGACTGTGCTTTGGCTTCATTTTTATGCAATGACTTGAAATGGGAAACTAACGGGTTTGGATTTATAATTTCACTTTTTTTTTTGAAGAATTTTAAATTCCTTGATGGAGTAGTACTAGTCATTTGAATTCCACGAATAAACCTAGCTTATTTATGTTATAAAAAACTTGGCACTGATGATGCCTAACGAGGGAATTTCAAATATTTGAATTCTAATAAACAATCTTATTAGTAATACTAGTCTTTTAAGCTTCAATTTGTTAGTAAGGGAATTTATCATGTAGAGCCCGTTAAATCATATTATACAACTGATATACAAAAGAGTCATATACTTAGGAGGTGTTTGGCAATATGGATGATTTTGTTTTTCAAAACAAAAGCAACTGCCGCATCAGTAAAAATAATATTATTTTGCTGATATAGCAGATGTCCTTGTTTTGAAAAACAATATTGTACACATCTGCGAAAACCCCCTTTGTTAGTGGGTTGGACGATGTCTGAAGCAAAATCAATTTGAATGGGTTGGATGGACCAATAATAAAGATTGAATTAGACCAGATTTAATAGTCCAATGTACTTATTGGATTGGACCTGGTCCACTTGTAATGGATTTATATTAGACTGGTTGGATTTAACCAATATCTAGTCCATTAAATAGAGGGATAATAGCATATAAGGGAAACTTTTGGGCCCTAATATCAATAAAAGTAATATATTAAAAAAAAATAAAATTAGATTAACTTTTTAAAAATAATATCAATTAAGGGTAAAATTACTGTTCATCTTCTTTTTCTTGCAATCTATTCAATATTGTTGCCGCCGGCCGCTGCTGCTGCCGCCGCCCCGGCAACGCCTTCGGCTATCTCCGCCCACCTCTGCCTCCGCTTCCGGCAACGTTGCCGTAGGTTGGTGGAGACAGAGGTGGTGGCAGTGGCGCTGGTGGTCATTCATCTACCCAACACCACCACCTCTGCCTCCGGCAACGTTGCCGGAGGTGGGCGGAGACAATGGCGGCGGCGTTGGGTAGAGGAATGACCAATAGCGCCGCCGCCTCTGCCTCCACCCACCTCCGGCAACATTGCCGGAGGCGGAGGTAAAGGTGGGCGGAGATAGCCGGAGGCGTTGTCGGAGCGGCGACAAGCGGTGGCGGCGACACTGTTGAACAGGTTGCAAGAAGAAGATGATGAACAGTGATTTTACCCTACCCTTAGTTGATATTATTTTTAAAAAGTTAACATAATTTTGAATTTTTTTTTTTAAATATATTACTTTTATTGATATTAAGACCCAAAAATTGCCCTTATATGCTAATATCCCTTAAATAGAAGATAAGAAGTTTCAAATTAGTCATCCTTGGTTTTACTATCAAGTAGCTTTTTGATTCAATGCCCATGTAAGCAGTGCTAGATTAGAAAATCACATGTTTGATTCCAAAGTTGTCTTTGTTTTGTTTAGATGATCCAAACTCTTGTTAGTTTCAAAAGTCTTTTTTTCAGCTTCCATAAAATGGATTATTTTCAACACTTTATTTCTTACAACTTACATTTGCTACGTAACCCTGCGCTGAAACAAGTAAATCAAAGCCTTTGATTTGCTGATATGAAAAATATGGCTGTTTACTTGACGATACACCATGTGTTCTCTATTGATTTCATTCAGACCTGATTTTTTTATTTGATTGTATCCTTAAGGAGTGTTCTCTGAAAATCAGGTACTATGCATCAATACTCACGGGGCCGGGTTGATTGGCCAAAGCACTTTGAGAATAACCGAAAACACCTTCTATAAACCTTTAGAACATATATAGCAAGGGAAGATTATGAGAGTCTTCCGATCGCTCTGGGGGCTATTGTTTTCACTTTTCATCAGCATCTAACATCACATGATCGACTTACAGCCGATCAGACAGCAAGGTCCCCGACCGGATGATTTTGTCTTTTGGGAGTTCCTCATATATAGTTTAAGACAGTTTCCGAAAAGCGAAGGGGGCCGCCTAACTACATGATTACCAGTTTTACCCATCCTATATGTCACAATTATTGGAGGATGGTGCTAGAGTTTTACCGTGGCAGTCAATCTGGCAAAACTCTTATTTGACATATTGGATATATTTGGTTCACTGTTAAAAATTATTTGGATATATCAAGYTAGGGGTGGCAAAACTTAATCCCCTTAAACTTCTAGATTGATAGTGATAGTAAAATTACTAAATTGTCCATTCAAAATTCCATTGACTAATGGTAAGAAATATCAAGATGATGAAAATGACCATTCTAAAGCACAAGGGCATTGATGAATCAATCATTCTCAAAGTGTGTTGTACAAATAATAAGCTTGAGAGAAACATGTTTTTAGAAAAAACTAAGTTTTATTTTATTTTTGGAGTAATAAGAGAGAATAGAAAAGCTAAGGTTTTTTGGGGGTAATAAGAGAGACCAGAAAACTAGGTTAAAAAGATAAAATTATATCACAAATAACACGAGTAATTTGGGGTTTTAGAAATGCTTACTGAAATAATATTCCATGAAGTTAACTGATAGAGTGCGGTGAGGGCAAAGTGCTGGAATTCAGAAGTTAAAACTCTGTCTCAAAACTTCGGGGGGCAAAGTTTCACCACCCCATACTTATAGGTAGGGTATCCAACCCATCCTATTCCTAATAGTACCTGTTTATCAAAACCTTATAGATTTTGGAACGGGTTTGAGTTTTGACGTTAGAGCACCCATTACCTGAACAGAATTATACTTAACATGGGGACCCACTCTCAACACCCGATTATAATATAGTAAAAAGGGGTTGAGATAGGATGCAAAACCTTGCCCTTGTTTCCCATTATAGGCATCTTTAGCGCTAACCTAATAACACACCATTTCTTTTTATATGCGCCAACACGAAGGATCAACTGATCAACATTCTCCAATAGAGGAACAAACCCTAAAAGCACAACCCCCAATGCTAACCACATCCAATTCCAAGCCAAACAAAACCTGGGGTTTTATTGAGAAATAAAAATTGCCAAGGGAATCAGTCACCTGGGTCAGAGGTTTGCTGACCAAATTAATGATTTTTAGTGAAATAATGGTTTTAGGGTAAAACGGAACCAGTCACCTGACCGGTTCTCAGTTTTTCCTGTCTGACCATTCGGTTCGGTCCAGTTTTGGAAACCATGCAAAGCAATATAAAGCTTAAATAGTTAGAACACGGGATCTGCTCCTCCCAAATCGCAACTCACAGCAACTTGCAGCCGTGCATTGAGAAAATGACAGTATTAGTACAAGAGATATTTCCGGTGTGTGGCTACAAATGCTGTGAAAATGGTACGAGGCGTGCACTATGAGGAGCAAATTCGAGTTCTAAATACTTAAACCCAGAAAGGAGGCAAGAGGTGGTGAAGGATCCCCTCTTTCCAAGTCGGATAAGATAATTCAAGAATCCTAAAAAGTTCCAAACCAGCCCATAATGTCTTAATAGACCAAAGCAAAGTCAGAAGCCACATCATGATCCTAAAAAACCACCCTCTTTTCCAATGAGACTCATCAGTCATTGAAACCTCGAAAGCCACATTAGAACCATTAAAAYTTGAATGAAGGTCGCCGGGGAACAGGTCAGTGAACAATACATATTCAGACCAAGAGGTGTGCTGTGAATAGACGCCCAAAGAAGAGATGAAAAATATAGAACTGAAATACCATCAAGACACCGAACAGGACATTTGCAGAATGAAGGCACTAACTGAAATACCAAATTTAAGGAAAGAAGTCAAGTATACAATATTAAACTGTCATAAATGCCACAAGATCTTTGGCTTTCTTTTTTGGTTGAAAGCATCATATATTATTATTGAGTATACATACAGCCACCAAAGCAGAGTCATAGTGTTTTGATCCTTCACTGTATTTTGTGATCTTCCGCTTACTTAGACCCTGTCAATTGTAATCTCTCTCTGTCTCTCTCTCTCTCTCGTACACACAAATGAAACAAAAAACCAAACCAGTAGTAGTCTAAAAAGTTCACTTTCTAAGAAGAAGATTGATCCCCAACGAAGCCGTGCTGATCATCAGCCCCATCATCGCCAAGAAACTAAGTTTCCTGTTACACACCCAAAAAATGAAATCCATAACAGAAAAAATAGGAAAAAGGAAAGAAAAGAAGACGGAAATGGAATCAAAATCAAGAAGAGAGAATTATCACAGATTGAGACCAGAGATACAAATTAGAGCTAAAATGGAAGGTTGATTACCCGATTTTCAAACGATTGTCAGGAACACCAGTTGCATAGCCAGTGAAATAGAAATAACGACCCACTATATAAAGGAGTCCAAGCCCAGCAGAAATTTTAGGATATTGGAGTCCTCCCAGAAGCAGCGATACAAAGAACATAGGCATCATCTCTAAAGAGTTCTGGTGCCCTCTCTGCACCACCCATTAATTAGATCAAAACCCAGAAACCAAAAACCAGAACCCATCTCCCAAATTAAAAAAAAAAACATTAAAATAAGCATCAGTAGAATGTGGGCGTCTAATTTCTTCTGAAATTTTTTCTTCGCAATACCTGAACGCAATTGAAGAGCTTTGCATCCTTGTTTTCAGATTCTAATGCGTAAAGAGTTGGATAAAACACCTTATACCTGCAATTTTATCATCCCAAAAGAGATCATTCGGATTACTTCAAAGAAAAACAGAAAAAAAAAACTCGGTAAAGGTAAAAGAGGAAAAAAAAAGTATTTGGCATGAATTTTCATACTTCTTTCTCGCCTTGCCGACTTGGAAAGCCATCCACGCATTAAGAAAGCCATAGAGAACCAGCACCAGCACAACGTATCCATACTCTCTTGGTAGCAATTCTACTATAGCCATTTGATTCTTGTTATTCTGCTCTGTTGCGAATTGATTTGGCTAGTGTTTTTGCCTTCTCTCTTCGGGTATATATAAATTACAAGCATTTATTTTCCTTTTGTTTTAGCTACGTCACTCATGATGACATGCATGCTTTAAAACCTTTAAATTAACAGAGAGCACCCCAAGGGGCATGCAGATAAGAGGTAGGGAACTACTACCAACAAAGCGCTCCTAACACTGTTCCAACAAGCCATTGCAGCCGTACATTAGGAACACCTCCCTGGAGATGTTCCCGATGTGCGGCTGCAGTGGCTGGTTGGGATTTGTTGGGACCATATGAGAACACAAGGGTTGAAAAAGAAGAGTGGTCGGTGCTGGGAACATTCCATTGAACGTGTTTGAATCGTTGACTTTGTAGGTGTTCTTCATCGGTGCTGGGAGCATTTAATGTTTATGAGAAAAATGGTGATAGGCATATGGAGATGTTATTTTTTATTTGGAATCGGTCCTGCTACATGAGCTGTTTTATGAGAAAATAACACTGATTTTGTTGGATACCAGTGCTGGTAATAGCGTTTTAAATATGGTCTATATTATCCAACGTCTAAGATGATGCTACATCGTTTTCTTAGAAAACATTAAATTTGGCGTTGATCCAGTCCACACTCTCCTGATTTCCAAGGCATGGTTTAGAACAATATTTTTTCTGGAAAAATGATACCAAACAAGAAGACATTATTTGAAGCACCACTTTCTCTGATGTAGCACCCACGTGGTGGCATCGATGCCAAACACCCACTTCATGGACGTCTTGACACTCCCCAAAAACAAGAGAGTGGAGACTACAATCATAGCCACAATCGTTGCCTCTAATCATATTTCTATAAATATTATAAAAAGAAATTAATAAAAATTTGAGGGTCCACATACACTTGATCTATTTTTTAATATTTGAATTCAAATCTTATTCATCAAATTTAGACCAAAACCTTAAATTTGAATCTGATCCCACTTCATATCTTTAAAAATAAAATAAAACTAAACTTTATTAAAAAATAATTACCTTTTAACTTATGCATATGAAAAATTTATATAAAAGGAAGAAATTAAATAGAATGTGCATCTATAGAATTAGAGAAGGATTGAAAATTAATGGTGCATATGGGGTTTCATGTTATAGGTGAATACCAATTAAGTTAAAAGAAAAATTTTATGAAACAATTGTAAAGACAACAGAGTGTTGGACAATTAAGAAACATGTTAAAAAAATGAGTGTGTTAAAATGTAAATTTTGATATGAGCAATGAAAAAATTAAAAAGAATAGCATTAGAAATGAAATTGTTCGAAGGAACGTAGGAGCATAGACCCAAAAGGATATGTAGTGYTGAAGCTAGGAGTGGCAGCAACCCTCCTAATGAAGGTCAATTTTATCACTTACAAGTATAGAGAACAATTCTTGTTAGTAAAGATAAAGATTATCACCCCAAGAAACCCCAACCCCATTACCAAGGGTCAATTATATTAAGGGGAGAACAAAACGATAGAAACGAAAGTCTTAGAGGGTGTTTACTAGTGTGGCACAAAAAAGCATGGTATGTTTTTCAGGTCATTGGCCCTACTGTGATCAGTTTGAAATTGCAGTTTGGGGGAACACATCACACCACACTACACATTTTGTATTGTGGTTTGTGTGGTGTATTCCATACCCTTGAGATATGAAATACATATATTTTTATTAAAATATTCTAAATCAATGTTTTATAAGTGTTGCAAGGTGTAGTGGGTTGTGGAACATGAGATTTTATCGTGGTCCAAATTTTGACAATATATTCAGTTCTAAAAATCAATGCAACTCAGCTCAGAATGTGAAATGGTGTAAAAGAACGCATTTTTTTCTATGGTGAAACAAAATGACTTACCGTGGTTTTTAAAAACGAACCGGTTCGAATGGTCCGATCATTTGACCCGAACTGTTGGCCCGTTCTGACAAAAAAAAATAAAAAATTTTAAAAAAATTAGAAAACGATCAAAATCGATTGAACGATTAACTGGCCGGTTCAGCGGTTTGCTGATCAAAATCAACAATTTTAAGGGAAAAAGCGGTTTTGAGGGAAAACGAAACCAGTCAGCTGACTGGTTCCCGATTTTTCCAGTCTAGTCCGATTTTAAAAACCAGGTGAATTACAACCACAATACCAAACACTCCCTTAGAAAACCCCATTAGGAAGGTGTGACAATGGCAAGACTTGCACTCATTATTTTTTTATTTATGTGTATTGACTTGTTATCGTCGATCCATTTCTTTATTTGTGTTCATTTGTTTCTCTTTAATGTATATATTGCTTTAATTCACGCATACATTAAAGAAAATGTAAATGGAGAGACTTGAGTCATTTGCTTTAAAAATGGAAAAAATATCCGTCTATTCACCATATTTAAATATGATTTTATCTGTAAAATATATTATATATAATATTTATGTAACCCATAGAATATATATATATATATATATATATATATATATATATATATAATGTGCAAAATCATGAATATCGCAAAATAATTGAGGGATTCAAAAACAATGCTTAAAAAACATTTGAAGTTGTGAAAGATATGTAGAATTATCAGGAGGCCACTGGAACATATTAAGAGACTCCATGATTGTTAGTATTTCAGTACTGTTTGTATAGTTACAAAGTGCATAGACTAGTGTAGCTAGGCCCTAGACCCTATTCATGTGCCTTAGAGCTCAAGGTCTTCCAACACTCCAAAGGACTCATGGAACTCAAGTTTAGGATTTCCAAATCACTTTTTGCCCCTTTTTACAATTGGAGCTTTCTCCTTTTCTAAGCTTTCTTCTCCTTCCTCTGAGTTCGGTTTTTCATTTGCTTCAACCTTTGTCCCTTTTCATTATCTTTCTTTGCGAATTTGGCACTTTTGCTACTCTTTAAGCTTATCGACTTTAGTAAATCTTATCCTTCATTTATCATTTTGGGACCCTAGACTTATCCTCCTTGGCCAAATCCTAATTGTTTTGGTTTCTCATTCTTCCCATCACATTGATTATCTTCACTCACTTTTCTCACATTTTCGGATGGCTCATAGTGAGAGGGAGCACCATTAAGTGGCAGCCCAAATGGCAACCCAAGTAAACAATTCTAGTCTTAGGTATTTGATGAGAGGTCATAAAAGCTTTGGGTTTCTCAAAGAGCTGGTGTCAATTGACCTATTTTGTCTTCAGTTTCCCAGAAGGTAGAATTTTCCTACTTGTGATTTGAGACAAGGGGATTCTTTATCTCATTATCTTTTCTTTCTGAGCATGGGGGATTATTGTTCTACCTTATTAATAAAAAGCTGAAGATCAGAACTTGATTCATGGAATTAGGATTTGTAGAACTGTTCCTTCTGTTTCTCATTTATCTTTTTGTGGATGTTGTGTTTTTATTTATTAGTTCTTCTAGGGAAAAGGTTGCTAACTTACTATATTTTTGAAATGTTTCAATAAATGTCAAGACAACTTATAAATTGTAATAAATTTGGAATTTTTTGTAGTAGAAGTGTAAGTCATAAAGGAGAAAATTTGATTAGCTGCTAGCTAAAAATGGGGAATTTGGATTGTAAACCTAAATATATAGGATTCCCCTTTTTTGGGAATAAAAATAAATCCTCCTCTGTTCATTTTGTTAGATAATCTTTCGACTAAGTTAAATGCTTGGAAAGCTACCAATTTGTCTCAAGTTGGTAAGTTAGTTCTTCTTAAATATGTGTTACAAGCTCTTCCCAACCATGTAATGTCTACGGTGCATCTTCTGGATAAAGTGAATGAGAGTATTGATAAGGTTCAAAGAAATTTTTGGTGGAATTTTGGTAAAGAAAGAAAATCTTTTTGTTGGACTAAGTAAAAGATATTATCTGCACCCCAAAATCTGAAGGTGATTTGGGCATTAGAAAAGCTAAGGAAGTCAATAAAGCCTTTCAGTGGAAGATTTCTTGGAATTTTTTCAACAGTGAAAATGCCTTATTGGTGCAAATGTTAAAATATAAATCCCTTAATAATATTGAGTTATTCCCCTCAAATCTTAAACATAATTCTTCTTTGTTCTGGAAGGAAGGCTTTGTGTAAGGCTTTACAAGAGGTTATTCCTTTTGTGGGTGTAAAAATTTCGAGAAGTCTGAATCTAAATGTTTAGAATGTTTTTTGCATTTGTTTAAATTACAGATTTATTGCTCCTGTGGGTCTTTGTTCTAAGCTTTTGAGGAACTTAAAAATTTCTGATTTGTCGAATGAGGATATGGTAGCTGGAAAGTGGACTGTCTATGATCTTGGTTTGTGGAGAGTAGCAAGGAATTTTGTTGCAGTCTCCTCTGTTTTAATTGCTAGAGGAAACAATTGTTTTTGTGTTTGTGGTGATTTTATATTATATTTGGGTGCTTAGTGATGAAGGAAGATTTGGCCCGACCTCGTAACCACTCAACACGTGGTAAAGGCAACAGCTCGCCAAGGCGTGAGCTTCGAAAGGAGGAACCAGCAGTCCGAACTCCCCGTAAGGAGCCCGATCTCTCCCTTAGGCCCCGAGTCTTGCGAACACAAAGGGCAATAACCCGAACTGGCCTGCCCCATGGCAGTTCGGGCCACACCTCTATCCGAACTCAAGACTTCACCTCGTACACCACTCCAGCACTTCGCCTCTAGGACGCCGAACTAGACAAACCACACCGTACTTGACACCGAAGGAGTCTATATCTAGGGGCGGCGCACCTGACTGACTTGGGATCTGACGCTTGACAGCCGCACTTCAACGGAC